TGGCAGCCTTCGGCTAGTACCTATAGTTGAAAATATGGCAAGTGATGCACGCCGTTTTTGCTTATTCTCACTGAAACATTGATTTGGGTAGGAGAATATGCTCGGGATTCAGACTCGGAGCTTGTCCTAATAGGAAGTCCGCTTCTACTATAGGTAAATGCATTTTATTTATTATTATTATTATTATTTTATGCTCTAATTTTTACTTAAGCCGCCCTTACAAGTTTTCGACTTAACGAGCCCTTTTTTTTTTCCTTTTCCTTTGTTTGTATGCATTTGCAGTTAAGGGGTTATAAGAAGCTTCAAGTGATGGACCCACCTTCAGATCACTTGATGTATGAGTACATGCCAAGAGTTTTTGTCCGGTGCCACCACCACTTGACTGGAGATACCGTCAAGGACTAGACAACAATTTTTTAGGATATTACTACTGAAGGCGTCAGATGGACTTGCCCTTGGTGTATATAGAGCGAGTCACAATCTCTTCATATATGCTCTGCGTACCCCTGTGTGGACTGACTACGGCGATTGCTTATTACCCTAGTCGCGTGGCTAGGCAGTATGGTCGTCATCAGGTTGTCTCTGATTATACTCGATTCGCAGGCGGGCTGATCACGCAGAGGTTTATATCCCATTTTATTGCCACCTAGCCCAGTCATACCACTGTCCCCATTTCTGATGCAGTCGACACTTCATCCTCTTCCTTATACCACTTGTGGCTGCAAACTTATTCTTAAGTCGGAGCTGATTCTGAGTCGGTTGATCTTCTGACATCTAGATTCTTATTAGGACCTGACAAATAGATGCCTTTATCCTGCTTTTTAATGATATGTACTAGACAATTATTAACAATGCAATTTATTTACAAATGCATACACTAATTATGAATGAATGCCTTTTGCTTGAAAATGTTTGAGATAGTTCCTTTTATTCCTTATCCACAATGCAAATTTGCATAATTTGCACAATGACAAACTTTTCATGATAAGCTTTAGAGTTAATAAAAGCACAAAAGGTGAGTTCAATTAATTGGGCTTTGCCATAAATGTTTCGTCTTATACATAAAATTTCTTCAACCTGTCTAAGTTGACTGGCTCTATAAACTCATTGCATTCTAGATTTGACAACTTCATTGCTCCTTTTGGAAACATCTTCTTCATCAAAAACAGACCTTCCCAATTAGGCTTGAATTTTCCCATTAGGTCATGAATGTTCGGCTTCATCTACTTCAGGACCAAATCTCCTACTCTGAGTAGCTTTGGATTGACTCTTTATTGAAGTGCTTAGTCATTCTCCTTTTGTATAGCTGATCCATAAATGTAGCATTAAGCCTTTTCTCATCTAAGAGAGTTAACTCTTAATAAAGGCTTTCGGTCTATTAACATTCTAGAATTCTGGATTCCATCATTATGCGTAAGGACTGCACTTTTGTCTCAGTTGGTAAAACAACTTCCATTATATAAATCAAAGAATAAGAAGTTGCCCCATTGACAGATTTGGTGGTGGTCTTTTAACTCCACAAAGCATACTTCAATTTTCCAGCCAAATCTTGATGATTCTCGGCCATTTTCTTTAATATTTTCTTGATAGTCTACTGCCACCATGATGAACTCGTGTCCATTGGATGTTGGTGGTGAGATTTTGCCAATAATATATATTCTCCAAGTTGCAAAAGGCCATGGCAAAATATATGGATGTAATTCTAATAGTGGAATATGACTCGGGTCTTCGTGAATTTGACATTCGAACACCTTTTCACGAAAGAAATATAATCCCTTTTTATTATCAACCAGAAGAACCCCTGTCTAAGAATCTTCTTTGCTAAAGCTTTTCTGTTCATATGAGTGTCGCAAACTTCTGCGTGAATCTATTCCATTATTTCCTCAGCTCTCTTCATCAATACACATCTTAACAATACACCATCTGGCATTCTCTTGTAAAGCTGACCATCTAATACTGCAAATTGTAGTGTCAAGCATTTTAAGGCTCGTTTGTCATCTCCAGTAGCTGAATCAAGATAACTCTCTCGGTCTTCCATTGTAGAATATTATGAAACCATGGCTGATCATCTTTCTCAATATCCATAATCCGTTCTCCTTTAGAGCACGGGATGTTACCCGAAGACATTACAAAAGGCTTCTTATGCATAGATGATATTTCTTCCCAAGCTGATGCTAAATTTGCCAAAAAAGGCTCGTTTGGTCATCTCCAGTAGCGCTTCGAATCAAGATAAACTCTCTCGGTGCTTCCATTGTAAGAAATATTTATGAAACCATGGCCTGATCATCTGTCCAATGATCCAAATCCGTTCTCCTTTAGAGCGACCGGGATGTTACCCAAGACATTACAAAAGGCTTCTTATGCATAGATTGATATTCTTTCCCAAGCTGATGCTAAATTTGCCAAAGCATCTGCGAAACTCGGTTATTCATTCTTGGCCAGTTGGTGTGGTGAAGGTTACTTTTTATGAATTTTGAATAACAACATGTAAATAATCCGAATATAAGGCTTTAAGCCTGTTCTTTTTGACTTCCCAATTTCCTTTAGCATGCTCGATGCAACCAGACTTCGAATCACCAATGACCTCGACTTCTTCGGCCTGGACGACCAATCAGCCATGTTATTCTATATCCATAATCCGTTCTCCTTTAGAGCACGGGATGTTACCCGAAGACATTACAAAAGGCTTCTTATGCATAGATGATATTTCTTCCCAAGCTGATGCTAAATTTGCCAAAGCATCTGGAACTCTGTTATTCATTCTGCCAGTGTGTGTGAAGGTTACTTTTATGAATTTTTGAATAACAACATGTAAATAATCAATATAAGGCTTTAGCCTGTCTTTTTTGACTTCCCAATTTCCTTTAGCATGCTCGATCACCAACTTCGAATCACCAATGACCTCGACTTCTTCGGCCTGGACGACAATCAGCCATGTTATTCTGCCATGTTCTGCCATGTTATTCAAGGCTTTAGCTTGCCATGTTATAAACAAGCTTCATATTCTGCCATGTTATTCATAACTGCAAATCGCAACCTTTTCAACATTGGGATAACTTCACCCTGTGGAGATTCTAGCAAGACGCCTACTCCTGCTCCCTTAATGTGAGCTGACCCATCAAAGTAGAGCTTTTATCCTTTCTTTTCCATTAAGTTCAAATGCTCATCAGGGAATCAATTTCCCACCGTTCATCGTCTTCAACTGGATATGCTGCGAGAAAATCTGCAACTGCTCATCCTTTGACGGTCTTCTTTATAGCATATTCAATGACAAATTCTTCTAATAGGATTAACCACCTTGCTAATTTCCCCACCAATGATGGTGTTCCATATAAGTACTTAACTGGATCTATTTTGGAAACCGCTATTACTTTATAAGACTGAAAATAATGATGAAGTTTTCTAGTGTTCCAAACCATAGCTAAGCAAGTTCTTTCGATCAAGTTATATTTCTGTTCATATGGAAGAAGCTTCTTGCTTAAGTAGTGAATTGCCTTCTCAACACTCGCTTCATCAGCTTGTGCTAACATGGCGCCAATTTTCGAATCTTCCACTGTCGATCGAGTATAATATTAATGGGTTCCCTGGTTTAGGTGGGCACAAAATCGGGAGACTTGACAAATAGTTCTTGATCTTATCAAAAGCTATCTGACAATGATCGTTCCACTTGACTGGCTGATCTTTCCTTAATAGCTTAAAAATTAGATCACATACGATGGACAACTTTGACATGAACCTACTAATATATTGAAGTTTTTCCAGAAAATTTCTCACTCGCTTCTCTGTATTAGGCGGTTCCATTTCCTAAATTGCCTTGATTTTGTCTAGATCAATCTCTATTCCCTTTGGACCAACAATAAACCACAACACTAACACTTTACCTGAGGTTACCTCAAATACACAGTTCTCATCCTCTCTTCTCTGCTGATCATTGCACATGATTTTCCCATGGCCTACTTCCCATAAGGAAACCCTCTATTGAACTCGAATAGACCAAATTCATTTTCACAATTTGAGAGGTAAAATGATTTAAACTATTTTCATAAGTAGAACTTACAGAAAAACATCTCATGGAAGAGAATTTCCAAGCAAACGAGTCCACCCCTCTAAGTCATCAAACAATATACAAGGCTGAATGAGGTGTATGATAAAAGTAGGAAGCAACTGATTGAGATATAATATTTCGTTCATTGTCTATTATATATTATCCATCATTCATTAGCAAAATTTATTGATTATCATCACTGAACTAAAAAATGATCCAAATTAAATGTCTACAATGTAATGAATTTTTCTCGAGGATTTGAGATACTACCTCTGATCCATAATATTTATCACATTTGAAAAAATAGTTTGTTTTAAAATACTTGTCACATTTGAAGTTTTAAGGAGTAATAAATCTTTTTTTTCATACTTACCCTTTATATATAATCAATAATTATTACTTCAATTTAATGATTTTATTAGAGAATTAGTATTAAATTAACAGTAATATAATCAATTTACTTAACAATTTATTGTAATTTAGATAAATTTAATAGTTTTGTTAAGGGACGTGAAATTTTAAATGTGATAAGTATTATAAAACACAGATAATAATAGCTTTCTACTCCATTTTTTGGGCAAAGATATTTAAATGAAACAAAGAAAAGATATTTAAAAGAAATTATTCCATACTCATTAGCTTCACAAAGCATATAGTCGCACATGAGAGACTATCGAATCATTCGAGAACAAATACATTTTGTTTCCGTTTCACACCTAAACGATCTCAAATAAAAGGCAACAAACGCGTGAACTTGAAACGATGCCAAAGACAACGTCCATATCATCAGTAAATAAAATTACTATTTAACCAAATAATCAGTCGCGATCATTAAATAAACTAATTATCCTAAGAAAGTCAAGTGTCAAATCGGGTACAACTGTATAGGGTTATTATTGGATTTTCACATTACTCAATCCCCACGTAGAAATTTGGAAATAATGATTAAACGAACCTCCACCACCGGCAACTTCATCGCCGGTCGAGCCCTTTCTCTCTCTTTTCCGATCTTTATATTAAAAAATAAACACAAAAATAATTAAAAAAATCAATCAAACATCAAATTCCAAGTCTATATCCTTCTCTTTCTCCTCTTGCAGACCAGACACCTAAAATCTCTCTCCCATTTCCTCTCTATATCTATACACAACCTCTACATAGACGATATACACATTTCTACAACAATGAATGTGTAGAAGAAATGGCGCAGTACAGGCAATCTGGACACCATTACTCAAACGGCACGTCGGATCATGTCGCCGTTGGGATTCGTGCTTCTCCTTCGCCGCCGCAGCAGCAGTATAAGCCGGTTCGGGTTCGCCGATCTGGTCGATCCGATAAAGGCAGAAATACTAGCTTCTCGATCGGTGCGGTCATTGTTTTTCTCTGTGTTGTGCTCGTTGTCACTGTTTTAGCGTACTATTACCTCTCCAAGGATAATAAAGGTTGGTTAGTTGATTTTTTTTTTCTCTTTTTTGTTGCTTTTGTTGTTTGGTTGTTGAGAAAGTGTAGGAAAATAAGATAGAGAGTGAAATTTGAAATTGGAGTTAGTTTTTGGTTTATTGAAGAAAAGGTAGCTTAATTTGAATCAGTGAATAGGCATTTTATGTCGTTTAGGTTTGTTAGCTACATTGACATTACGCGTTTGTTTTCTAGTTTCTTCCTTTTTTGTTAGATCGAATTTCTGTTAAGTTTTTTGGTTCTAAAATTTTGAGATTCTACTTCTCATTTTTGTTAATTCGAATGTCAAATACTAACAAACCTGTGATTAAAACCTGAGAAACACATAAGAGGGGGAAAAGAAGTAATAAAATGCATGATAATGAGACTGTTTAGTCCTTTCCTTGCTGCAGTATTTTTCAAAATGGAGCTTAATTGGAAAATTCATCTTAACCAACCAGTATAGTAGCCTGACGTGTGGGATATAAACTATAATCACTATTTCGAGCTGCTTTCATTTAGCAAGTGCATTGTGTTTAGTGCAATGAATTGTGCCGGCTTGGCCTTTTTACTTTGTTTGGAATTTTCAATTATAGACATGTATGGATTTTCCATATTGGTATAACTAGGTCATTTGTTCCTTTATTTATTTATTTATTTATTTTTTTTACCCCCCTATCAGTCTCTGTAACTCATACAAACATAATGATGATGCCTGTACTGGTGCAGAAATAAATGTTCATAGTGTTGATGATGATGAGATGAAGACTGACCTTGATTTTCTCACCAATGTTACACGGACCGATAACTTTAGAGTGCTTGGGTTTGGCCAAGGTTCTGTGGGGCATGGACGGGATTCTAGGTATTGGGACAAGGATGATAGAAGAAGGGATGTAGATTATAATATGGATGATGTGGATCATGATAGTAAGGAAGTTCAGGATGAATCTGTGGAAAAGGGTTATGTTCTAGCAAATGTGAAGAATGTACAGGAAAAGGCTTCTCAATATGATGCTTCTGACAGTTTAGATCGAAGAGGAGTTGGATTGTACAATGAAGATGGCCGTAAAGAATTGAAAAGGTATGAGGCAGAGTATGAGGCCTCTCTAAAGAATGCTGGCCAATCAAGAAAGGGAAATGACATTAAAAATCGGGCACTTGATGATGAGGATCATGGAGAGCAGAATGAGGCAATTGATACTGATAACGAGTATGATGATGGTATAGATTCCCATGATTTTCATGCAGAGGATTATGATGATTCTGAACATGACAGTGGGGGCCACACTGTTATAGGCATATCCCATGGTGAAGATGATAAAGAATTCTCTAATGTCCATGATGCTGAAACTAAGGTGCAAAATATTGACAAGGGAAATCGGGAAGTATCTGAGGATATGTTAGAGAAGCCTATGAAGTCCAGAACTTTGGGTAATGTTGACAATAATTCTCGACATGTTCGTTCTAGTGGCAGTCAGTATACAACTAAATCGCAGTCGGAATCAAAAAGAAAACCTAGGCGCCGGAAATTTTCTGGTAATTTTCGTCCCTCTCTCCACCCCTCCTCCTCCTCCTCCTCCTCCTTTTTTCATGGTACTACGGATATGCACATCTGATGCCTTAATCTCAATTGAAATCAGTTTTCCTTGGTTAAATATGGCTTTGTGCTTCTGGAAATGTTGATTTTCCCTGGAAAGAATAGTTATGAAGAAGCATCTGTTGCTACTTTGATCACATAGCAACTTTCTGGAAAAAATTTTAGTGGGTTTGAGCATATTTCCATTTTGTTAACTAATGTGTGCAGGTATTTATTTTTTTGTTGGCTTCATTTTGTATTTTATTTTGAACACAGTTTATCTATGCTACATGTCATTCATAATGGATGGAATACCTAGGACATGAGCCAAAAACATGAAGGAGTTTGAAGTACACTGGATGAAACTGCATCTTCCTTACTGCAGTTATAGGTTTATAAAAAGGAGTTTTCATTAAAGAAGTTTCACACTTAATATGGACTTAATGATGAAGAGCAAACCATAAGGATACCTCATTGTCTCATTGTCCTTGATGCAACAAATTTCTTAGTAAAAATTAATTTCTTATATTAAACAGGTGGAGCAGACTGAGATTTCTTGGTGTACTGCTCTTATTTAGTCTTTTTTTTCTTGTATGCCTGCATTTTCCTCTTGTTTAGGCTTAATTAGTTACTTGAGAGCTTTTCTGTAAACCTCAGTTGGGCAGTGAGAAGCAGTGGGGTTAGGTCTTGCTTTTTGGTATCTAAAACATATAAAACTTGATTTTGCATATAGTCATGCATATTGCTTTGGAAGGATGGGATGCATCACAGTTAAATTTATGCTGCAAATAGTCATCCCCTTGATTCACAACTTAGAGATGGTGAAGACAGCTGCTTCAGTTATGCAAGCTAACCTTAAAGAAAAATGCATTTATGACCCCTACATACATAAGCCTCCGCACAGAGAACTTATTTAAAGAATAAAGTTTAACCTTATGTCAATGACATGAATTCTTATAAACACTCAATAGCAGCCAAAATGACCTAGTCAACTAGCCTTAGCCATCCCCCACCCTACTTTCACATTTGCAGTACATATTTATACATTCTGTGTTGTTTTATTGGTGGTCCTCAGGTCAGGGACTTGAGTTGTTAAGACGAAACTGTTTTACCTGGTATTGTGGGATATTAAGGAGTTGTTTGTTTGGGTAAATTCTTTTGTATTAACAACTTATTGAGCTGAATGATTAAGAATTGGTATCAAAAGAATTGGTATCAAGAGCTGATTGCTGAATGATTAAGAAGGAGTATATGATATAATTTTATAATTATAGGGAGCAATTTTGTCTTTTCATCTACTAAGTTGTATAGCTTATTGAATTAGTTCTTAAAAGAAGATTTTTTCGTTTAGACAAAGTTTGGCTTGCAAATTCAGAGTAGTAGCTTACTAGTTTAGCTCAGACAAACAAGCTTATTTCATTGTTGTCTAAACGAGTACGATGAAGGTCCAAAAAGCTGTCGATAAGGCACAACAAACGACCCCTAAGTCTCTTAACACTTTTTGGAAATTTATATTATTATGTTGGTCCAATTAGATTGCTTACAATGCATGTTTGTAATTTTCCAATTTCAATATTGATGTAGTGTTTACCATAATGAAGTTTATATGAATCAGCTTGCACTTATGTAAAGTATATAAATTTTAGGCATGCTTGATGGTAAATTTTGATAACGCTTGAGGGTACTAGAATTCTACTCCCAAATTGTCAACTAATCTATTTGGGGTGACCTTCTCGTGATCCAGGAAGGAATTTGATTTCTGTTTTAACAGGGGGACCAGAGTATTGATATTGGTAATAGATTCATGGAAATATGTTTCTGGAATTTGATCAATAAGAACAATATGTAGACACACATGGAAATTTGTCCCAAAAAAAAAAAAATGAAGAAAGATGGCAACTCTTTGACATTCAAAATGGAAGATCAAAGGGAAAATAGACTTTCACTGAAAGGGAAAAGCTCTTATGATCCATGATTTGTATCCCTTGGAGTGATGTTTCTGGGAAGGAGATTAAAGGTGAATCGTCTATTGAAAAATTGAGAGCAAGACCCACTAGGATATCAAAGGCCAAAATTTTGTATCAAGAGATCATACTATGGCCTGAATTTATTGAGTGCTTTAATTAAGAAACCTCTAACAATACTGCTTTTGATTGACTTAAAGTGAGTGAGTTTGTGAGCTCATGCCCTGGTCCAAATGCAGAGTTGATTGTCTGATTTTAATAATAAAATCTGGAAGTCTCTTAGAGTAGACCATCTTTGGAAGAAACTGGTTGAGGAGTTTATTTGTGTTTCTAAATGCCTGGTTGATTGTTTTAGCTGTTCAACTAGCTGGTTCTGCAAGGAGAACCTGATCTCTGTCCCAATGGTCTCAACATGTGCTGTGCTCTCGCACACTTGCAACTCTGTCTCTGTGTTTTTAATTTTGTATTCTTATTGTGTGTACTATTCACTATTGATGTACTCGGATTATGTTTCTGCTTCTTTTGTTATGATATTTCATCATGGAAGGTTTTATCATACACGACTTGAAAAATTTTTGGTCTTCTAGTCTCTTTTATGTTTTAAATTGTTTTTCTATGCATATATTTTCACATTCTGACGTCTCTTGGTTGACAGGGGGGTGTGAAATGAAGTTTCTAAATTCTACCACACAACTTGTGGAGCCTTTTGAAAGTCGGAAATTTGCAAGATTTTCATTGCAGTATGTTGAAAGGGAGGACAAGCCAAATGAGGAGGAAGAATGGGAGCCCAGATTTGCTGGGCATCAGACCTGGCAAGAACGTGAAGATTCATTTTTGGTACATGATCAAAAAGTAAATTGTGGCTTTGTCAAAGGTCCTGAAGGGTCCCCAAGTACAGGATTTGATTTGGCTGAAGATGATGCTAATTATATCAGTAGATGCCACATTGCTGTAATCTCCTGTATCTTTGGAAATTCAGATCGCTTGAGGTCACCTGCTGGTAAAATGGTATGATTGACTTGTGTTGGTAAAATTGAGTACAAAAACCTTTGGTGTATTTTTTGCTTCAATAACTCTTGCTGCCATATCATTTTTATGCTTGATGATGCATTTGTTCACCATGGACAATCACTTGTATATGTAGGAAAAACATTTGAAGCACCTATTTTTTGTGAATAGAAATCTTCCTATCTCTAGCATTTTGAAAACCAGTATCTGGAATCTTGGCAGAATTTGCTTTAATGTCATCAGTTGAAACCTTGATCGAGGAACTGGCACTAATTATTGTGTAAAGTTGTTGGTGTTAGGGTGGGGGTGGGCAAAGGGCAGAAAAAGCATACTCCGTATCTGTATACTGATTTCTTTTTAATTTTGAAAATGGGTTTCTGCATAATGCTGCTGCGTTTCCATCCCAAGTAAATTGTCTTTCATGCGTGTAATATCTGCTATTTTCTTGATGCCTAAATATCGTTTTGAGATGAGGGGATTGACTTGTTGCATCATTTTTCTGCACATATGTCCACAATTCAATTCAAAAATTTAACATTTGGATAGAAGTTAATTTGTTTTAGAAGTTTTTTCTAGAATTTTAAGAGTTTATTACTCTTATCTCCTTGAATGGTTTGTTATACCCTTCTATGTTGCCATAGGCCTACTTCTCTGTTTACTTCTTTACTAGTTATTATTTCTTTTGTTTTTTTTTTTTCCTCTTGGCGGGGAATCAATTTTATGGGAAGGATTCTGGATTGATTCAAGTACTATTAAGGAATCTGGCACCTTAGGGCATAGGTCTGAAAACCGGTTCGGTCTCTTTTACAGCAGTTTGGATCCATGAATTAAGAACAGAAAGACGAGTACTGGATTGAAGATTGGAAATTGAAAGACTGCTAGAACAGAGTGATAACTAAGATTTGTGTCCTATAGAGTGCTTTATGAGATTCAGAATTGTGGTTTATGTGAGAATATAATGCATTGAAGAGGAAATGGCATTAATGGGAAATATCATACTTAGTATGCGGCAAACATTCCATATAAATGAGACTGCACATGTTCTCTCTTTGGCCATTTTCAATATTATTATATGCTGTATGTATAGTATATTCTACATAACCTTTTTTTTTTTTTTTTTTTAATTTCGAGGTTTTTATACTTTCTATTTTATAGCTGTAAATCTGTGATTGCATGTGTAATAAACAAATACTTCTGAGATATTGTAATTTTTTTGCTATCTCCCGAGCAAAGCTCCTGTAATATGTTGTGCTGATGTATGGTCGTCCAGCAGGTTGAAAAACTTCTCCTATTTTGTTTAGGATAACACTGATATCTTGTATGATATTTAGGTATCCTAAGAACAATTGAAGGTATAAATTAGGTGAAGATCATAGAATCTTGGACACTTAAGCTTTCTATTTGACAGCCTCCTATGTTGTATATCTTGTTTAACATGTGTCCTTGCATTTTCCTTCTCTTTTTGTTCCCCTTACTTTTCTTTACCATACAGTCACTTGATCTTGTATTATGTTTTCTATAATTCGTAAGGACAAATTTATCATATGATCCTGTGATATGTGCATGTTGTACTCCATATTAGTCATGAATTGTTCTCCCTTCTCAGGTCACTCGTGTATCAAAGAAAAATGTCTGCTTTGTTTTGTTCATGGATGAAGTTACTCTGCAAACAGTTTCTTCAGAAGGCCAAATGCCAGATAGAGCAGGTTTTATTGGTTTATGGAAGATTGTGGTAGTGAAGAATCTACCATATACTGATATGCGGAGGGTGGGCAAAATTCCAAAATTATTGCCACACCGGCTTTTCCCTTCTGCTAGGTGAGAATTAGACTTTGTCTTGTACACAATTTTGAAATGCCCTGTGTATTATAATTATTTTTTAGTGTTGTTTCTATTGCTGGCATACAATTTTAAGCTATATATTCACATGACAGCCTTAAAAAAATTGGAAAAAAAGAAAGTAACCAACAACAGCATTAAATTCTTGGAGATTTAGGAACAACTCGTGAGACTTTTTAGCAGATGTAGAATCACAAAGTGAATTGAGATTGCATCTAATTCTTAGGAATTTTTGCTGAATAGAGACTTATTGAGAGATTTGGAGAGTGATTGTGTATCAGACTCCTCTCTCTCTCTCTCTCTCTCTTTCTGTCTGGTGCCTTAAGGAAAAGTTGCACCTTTATCATTAATGGGGTTTCACCCTTTATAGACATTTATGAGGCGATACCTGAAATGAAGGAGTATGAGATAACATTGAATGTGCCTATTTTGGATGGGGCTGTGTTTGACTCTGTTAACTGAAACCATATTTTTGGGCTCTCTGTTGTGATTTCTGTAGAGTATGCTCTGACAGAAATCTAACTGGAGAATAGTGTAATTGGATACTCCATTTTGGTTTGTTCTGGGTATTTCCTGTATGTCCTTGGAGGTCAAACCTATTTATTCTATGCATTCAGAATCTAGGTAGTTAAAAGCGCAAGGCGCATTCAAAATGATGCCCCATTGTTAAAAGTGCAAAGTGCAAAAACAATGAGGGAAGCCCAAAATTATTAAAAAAGTTACCTACTAATATATTATGTAAAGGAAATAGTTCTCAATATAAAGTTCTAAACCTTGAGAAAATCTAATCGTGGAGAAAACTGGAAAAAGTTTCTGGCTGAAAACGATAGATGGGATGAAGAATTAGGAAGAAGGAAGTTTTAAAGGCTGAAAGTTATATAGTCATTAGGGAGAAAAATTCAGTATCTGAAAATAAAGTTTGAGAAGAAGAAGAAGAAGAAGAAAGACTAAAGAAAGATGAATTGCCTTTAAAAAAAATATATATATGTACATGTGTATCTGTTGTGGAATAGCATGTATCCCAGAAACATGCTCCTCCCACCACTGTTCTATTCCAGGGGCTCTTTCTGGTTCTTTTTGTATTGGTATAGTGCATAGACTCAAATGCACATTTCTATCTGACTTATATACAGAACACTTTTGTGGCATGCTCAGCGAAATCATTAACTTTCTGGATAAGCAGGATTCCATGCAAACAAGCTGCATCACTTGTATCTTAAACTTTTGCATATAAATATTCAGGTATTCGATCTGGTTGGATAGCAAATTGCGTCTTCAACTTGACCCTCTACTTGTTCTGGAGTATTTTCTATGGCGTAAAGGTCATGAATATGCCATTTCTAATCACTATGATCGCCATTGCGTATGGGAAGAGGTTGCACAGAACAAGAGGCTTAACAAGTATAATCATACTGTAATAGATGAGCAATTTACTTTCTACCAGGCTGATGGACTGAAAAAGTTCAATGCCTCTGACCCAAACAAACTTCTTCCGAGCAGTAAGATTTTCTCTCTTTATTTTCTTGTGCAATTCATGACATGGATTCACTTTCTCCACCTTTATTTAACAAGACGTTATTGTACTTTCTACAGATGTACCAGAAGGGTCCTTAATTGTGAGAGCACACACTCCAATGTCAAATCTTTTCTCTTGTCTTTGGTTCAATGAGGTTGATCGCTTTACTCCTCGTGATCAACTGAGTTTTGCATATACATACCAGAAATTGAAAAGGATGAATCCTGGGAAACCATTTTATCTTAACATGTTCAAGGTGAAAAATTCTACTGAATTTTATCTCCATAACAATGTTAGTAGCATATGTTACTAGTTGGCAGGGGTGAATCCATTATATGGCTAATGGGGTCACTTTACTCCACTGACATTATAAATTTACCTAGGATATTATAGGTATTTATGTATTTGCACCCACTGAATTTATAAGAGTACCCCTAATGGAAATACATTGATTGAATATATATAAAAATTTTCTGGATTTGTCACTGCCAGTTGGCCACAATTTTCTCTCTATTGCCTAAACGATAGCCCAAGGAAACCAAGTTGTAGTTTGTATTATTATTATTATTATTATTAATCTTTTAATTTTGTTTTTTTTCCTTTTAACTTTTTATGTTGCAGGATTGCGAGAGAAGAGCCATAGCGAAGTTGTTTCGTCATAGGTCTGATGAGAAGCGACATACTCTTCGTCAACAAGCAATAGAATGAATTGCGCAAGATAACATTTCTTTCGCTGATAGCCTATTTCTGTACATTATTCTTGGCTGCATGCAGAATTATCGATTGATGACGGTAAGTCCTCTAAAGCCCCCAGAATGTTACACGAGTGCTAGTTGTCGATTACCTCATCAAATTTTGAAATTTGAACGTTAAGGAAAAAGCACATACAGTGGATAGAAGACTTGTTTAACATTTTTTTTTTTTTTTTTTTTGAGTGCTAGATTGTCGATTACCATCATCAATTTTGAAATTTTGAACGTTAAGGAAAAAGCAACATACAAGTGGATTAGAAAAAGACTTGTTTAAACATTTTTTTATTTTTTTTTTTTGGGGGACGATAGAGGTAAATATTTCTGAGCAAAATTTTTTTTTTTTTTTTTGGGGGACGATGAGGTAATATTTTCTGCAAAAGTCTCTCTTAAATACGTCTCTGTGTAGTAGTCGATGACGATCTTCTTTAAGCTTCTTCATAGTACTCATTCCATTCTATATTCTTTGTTCTATTTTGAGGCCAAGCTATACACCCAATACCTTTTCTACCATTATTTCAAATGTTTCTTTTACCTCTGTATTTTGGATCCTATTAATTCTTCCATAATAGTTGGATATCAAGATTGGTTTGTAACAAATTTTGATGGATAAGAAGCATGTATGATAAATTCTTGGTGTAGATTCTTCAAATTCACTTGTACCTCTTATTAATATTACTATTACTATTTTTCTATTTCTGTAGCCCGATTGGCATTGTGATTGGATTCTTTTTGGCAAATTGTCTTTTTAAATTTTATCTGAATTTGCATTGTTTGAGAGCTTTGAAATGTGTTTTGCCTGAAGTAACCAAGTTCAGGCAGAGAGTATTTAGGGGTGGGGTGGACATTCGCTGAATTTAATGAATCGAAATTTTTTGAACTAAAGAACCGAATCGAAGTGATGAGAATACAAAATGCAAGCGTTTGTAGGTGGCTTTTTAAACCGCCAGAAACTGAGCCGAACCAAATAGAATGTAATTGATTTGGTTTGTTTTACCTTTTAGCTTTTTGTTTTTTCTTTTGTAGAATTTAGCCTTATTTTTTAATGTAATAAAAATTAAATTGAACTGCATATATTTAAAAAAAATTAAATCAAAATGAACTAAATTGTTAAGGGACTGCAACATGCAGTGCTTAACGAGGGTTGATAACCGAGAAATTAGATGGGCACTGCGAAAAGTAAGGGAGAAGAAGAAGGAAAGGAAAGAGGAGAAGAATCGAGACAAAAGGGAAATTAGGAAAAAGAGTATATTTTCTCATTACTTGTGTAACACCCTTTCCCGGTCCACCCGTAAACCCGAATGAACCGAGTCGAGATGCTACAAACTGGTTGACTGTATGGTCTGACATGCTGAAAACATACTGATCGAGATGGCTACAGTGGAGACTGGTTGACCTGTTATGGGTCCTTGAGCAGTGCTGAAGAACATACTGTTGATGTGAATATAATCAACATGCTGTGATTGTTGTACAAAAATAATGTAATTTTAACGAAACCATGAGTACAAGTGTTAGCAAATATGGAAATGGGCCGCCACTGTGTGCCCTGGTACATGCCATAGAAAGAAAACAAAATGAGGTTTTCTTTACCGCCTGAGAGAGCCGGAGTCTTGCTACAGATGGAAAGCTGCAGCAGTTTTTGTACGCGGAACTCCGCTAGTGGACCAGTCTCAAAACCTGGCAGAGTTAAACAGGTAAACGGTCGCTGAGGCAAAGTAATGCTCAGGTGGATATCGTCAGAACAATAAAAGAAACAATTGAAAGTAAGATCACATACATATATGAACGAACGAGGGACCAGTGGGAAACATATATGGCAACATATAGAGCTCACGAGGCACTTATGAATACTTTCATGGATAATCTTAGATTATCTTTTGTACTGTTTTTATAATTCCTGTATAATTCATGAAATGTTGTGATCAAGATATCTGAATGGCTCCATAAGGTTTATAGTGAAACCGAAGTGATAAGTATAAACTGTATGAACTGGATTATAACTGTAGCTATGATTGGCCCGAACCCGGATTCGCTTCTATGCATATTGTCCGTTTTGGTGCCCCTAACCGGATTTTGCAAACCGCAGCGGTTTCAATCATATCCACCTCAACGACCCCCCCTTTGCCTGTACCCGAGTTCCAAATCTGTAATGGGCCGGCAGTCTTGCTATTACTATGTCGCTGACATAGCCTTATCACATGGGTTTCTGACCTAACCTCAATGGAGCTGTAAAGATTAGCATGTTTCAACAAATGTAACACAATAGCACAATAAATGGTTCCCACAAACGTCCATATTGTATCATATATGATTTGAATTTCACACCATATAAATGCTTACATGTTGTTTTTAATCGCATGTTCTTCATGTTGTAATTTTTGTTTGTAAAATGATTGGATGGGCATGCAATTGTTGATTGCAAAGGAATGTGATTACATAGCAATTGAAGGCAAAAGAGTGTCACGCACAAAGTCGCGACTGCGTATGTGAAAGTCCGCGAGCGCGACTTGTGCATCCTGATTAATGTCAGTGTAAAGCATCAGTCGCGAGCGCGACATTCCAAGTCGCGAGTGCGAGATGCTTCCCAGAGAGAAGTCGCGAGCGCGTCTTCAAACCTCGCGAGCGCAAGAAATGCATTTGAGAGTCAGAGGGTTTTCTGGCTCAAGTCGCGACCGCGCAGCACACGTCGCGAGCGCGCTTGTGTGATTCGCGAGCGCGAGATGCGCACACTGAGAGTCAGAGAGCTTCTGGCCAAAGTTGCGACCGTGCATGTGATCCTCGCGAGCGCGAGTTGTGCAATTGAGAGTCAGAGAGCTACCTGACTCAAGTCGCGAGCGCGCAATAGGAAATCGCGAAAAATCGGCGACGCGACTTGCTTTCTCAGTAATGGCGCGAGCGATCGACGTGGATTCTTGCCAGTCCTGTGTTCTTTGGCCATAAACTCTCAATAGCTAACTCCAAAATCAATATACAACTTCAAATTGAATGATTCAAAAGCCCATGTAAAGCTAACACATAGAGAAACAAATAACTCTTCTATGACAATTCCTAATTCCATCATTTTCTGGGGTCAAAATCAAGATGAAGTTGCTGGTGAAATTTCCAGCAAAGCTCTGTTTCATAAAGTCATTCCATCCCCTGTTTTCACAACATATCCAATCTTCTCACTCAACAACAAGCACCATATCATCTCACTAGCAACACACCACACAATTTACATGCAAAGAATCTAGTAAACAACATGAGATATCAAACCTTGATGTCAAAAAGCTTGACCTCTGTTTTAGCTTCTCTTTTCTGCAGCTTTGGAACTTTCTTCTCCTATACACAAGAATTCTCATAACTCATCTCCAATAGAACTCAATTAAAGAGTGAATAACATATAACGTCAAGGAATTCTACTTACTTGGAGTGGACTTACTGCGTAACTTGCATGAAAAGTGCAAGGAAATGGAAGGGAAACGTAAGAAGAAAATGAAAAACAGGAAAATAGGAAAGTGAAAATGATAGGAACAATATAGGAACGGGTTGACTCTAGAAGAAGTTGATTATGGCTTGTGTAAACTCTATATTGTGTTGACCTCAAGTATACAAAGGCTTACAACTACTTAGCCCAAGCTATAATGTTTGGAGGCAAACAAGTCCCTAAACTTTCCATGCCAATAAGTCCACTTTATCATTCCATTCTACCCTCAACGCGAGTTTGTTCAAGCCCGACTCAACTCAAGAGGAATGTTACAACTGTCTTTTCATAAATAACAATTTAGAAATATAATAGGCCTTGTAATTTAAATGCCTACTGCCAGCTATTTAGACAATTTCAGCAGCCATATACATTTAGGCCACAATTTTAAAGTAATTGAAATACTATATGCCAGGCTATTAAAGTCCTAAACTTTCCATGCAAATAAGTCCACTTATCATCCATTCTACCCCAACCAGGTTTGGTTCAACCCGACTCAACTCAAGAGGATGTTACAACTTGTCTTTTTCCATAAATACAATTAGAAATATAATAGGCTGTATTTAAATGCCTACTCAGCTATTTAGACATCAGCAGCCATATAAACATTTAGCCACAAGTTTTAAGTAATTGAAATACTATGCAGGCTATTAATTCCTATTACAGCAATGTTTATCACAGTATAGTCCTTAATTCCTAACATTATCCCCTCCTTTGAGCTCAATCTTGTCCCCAAGATTGAATTCTGGGAATTGCTGCTGTAAGAAAGAAATATCTTCCCAAGTTGAATCCAATGGAGACATGTTCTACCACAAAACCAGCACCCGAGGAACAGAGGTGTTGTTCCTTGTAATAACCCTGTTGTCCATAACCTGCTGAGATGCAATTACTGGCGTACCAAAATCAGATTGAGTAGCAGTTTGATGAGCTGCCAAACATTTCTTTAGCTGAGAAATAAGTAGCACCGGCTGTATGTGACAATCAGCAGGCAATTGTAATCTATAAGCAGCAGCACCCACTTTCTCAAGTACCAAAAACGGACCATAGTATTTAGTTGATAGTTTGAGACTCTTTCTAAGTGCCACAGAAGTTTGCCTATATGGCTGTAGTTTCTGGTACACCCAGTCCCCAATGTCAAAGTGTCTTTCTATTCTATTTCTATCAGCAAACTGTTTCATCCTATTCTGAGCATTCAACAAATTCTCTCTCAGATCATGGGACATCGCTGTCTTTCTAACAACCATTCCTCCACAGTGGCAGCAGTGGTAAATCCAGGGGATAAGTGAGAAAGCTGAGGGGGATCAAACCCATAAAGAGCCTTAAATGGTGTCATTTTAAGGCTAGAATGGCAGGTAGTATTGTACCACCACTTTGCTAAGCTGAGCCATTTGCACCAAGCATGTGGTTTTGTAACTGTCATGCATCTCAAGTATGTCTCTAGACATCTATTAAGCCTCTCTGTTTGGCCATCAGATTGTGGGTGGTAAGCAGTGCTAAGGTTCAGTTTGGTTCCCAAGGATTTAAATAGTTCCTACCAGAATAAACATGTGAAAATTTTATCCCTATCAGATATAATGGATTGGGGAAAAAATTTTATCACTATCAGATATAATGGATTGGGGAAGGCTATGAAGTTTAAAAATATTATCTAGGAAGAGTTTGGCAATTTTAGGTGCCGTAAAAGGGTGAGATAGGGAAGGAAATGTCCATACTTGGAAAACCTGTCTATAACCACCAAAATGGTATCCTTGGACTCATAAATTGGTAATTTCTCGATGAAGTCCATGGAAATGTGAAGCCATGCCTGAGTTGGTACTGGCAGGGGCTATAAGAGTCCGGGATATGGAACTGTTTCAGTCTTACATGTTTGACAAGTAGGGCAGTGAGAAACCCAAGTATTGATATCATGCTTCATATTAGGCCAATAAAAATAGGACTTCTGTTTGTGAAGTGTCCCTTTAACCCCACAGTGCCCTCCCAATAGGTGAATTATGAAAGCAAAGGAAAAGCCGATGTTTCAATGGTGAATCCCCTATGTAAATCCTGGACTTATATTTCAAAAGTCCACCAGAAAATGACAGGTTAGGCTTAGTTGTGGGGGCTACAGTTAACTGTTGTATTAATGCAAAAGCAGTGGGGTCTACTGCATAGCTGTCAGAGATTTCTTGTAACCATAAAGATTGAACAGTATTGATGGCATTAAGGTCAGAAATAGGAAAAGAATGATGCTCAGAGGTAGGGAGAGCATATCTTAATAGGGCATCTGCCACTCTATTTTCACTGCCCTTCTTATACTGTATAGTGTATTGGGGAACTAGAAGCTTAGTTATGCCTTTTTGTTGGACATAATTATGGAGTCTTTGGTGAAGTAAATAGGTGAGGCTGGAGTGGTCTGTTTTGATGGTAAATGGTTTATGTTCTAGGTAGTGTTTTCATTAGGAAACAGCTTTAATAACTGCTAACAATTCTTTTTATAGGTAGTGTTTGTTGTTCAAAGGTTTACTAATAAATGCAATTGGTCTATCTTTCTGCATCAAAACTGCACCTATCCCAAGGTGACTAGCATCAGTCTCCAATACAAAAGGAATGCTAAAATCAGGAAGTGCCAATACAGGTGCTGAGGACATGGCTGTTTTAAGAAGTTTAAAAGCATGAGTGGCTTGGTCACTCCATATGAATGCATCTTTCTTAAAGAGGTCTGTGAGAGGTTCACTTATAGATCCATACCCTTTTATAAACTTCCTGTAACACTCAGTAAGACCCAAAAATCCCGTTAGTGACATAAGTGACTTAGGTGTAGGCCAGTTAACCATCGCCTCAATCTTCTTAGGGTCTGTAGCCCCACACCATTGGCACTAATAATATGTCCCATATACTCTATGGTTGGGGTACAAAAAACACATTTAGTCATTTTAGCATAAAGTTGTTCATAAGAGACTGAAAAGTAGCAAGGGCACTGGTGAGCCCAAAGGGTATCACCCTAAACTCAAAATGGCCATGGTAAGTTTTAAATGCAGTTTTTGGAATATCAGTCTCAAGCATTCTGATTTGGTGATAACTCGCCCTCAAGTCAACCTTAGAAAAGTAAGATGCAGAATGCAACTCATCTAATAAGTAATCAATGATTGGGATAGGCTATTTATCCTTAATGGTCAAGGAGTTTAGTTGTTTATAGTCAATGCAAAACCTCCAAGAGTTATCCTTTTTTTTGACAAAAAGAACTGGGGAGGCAAAGGGGCTATGGCTAGGTTGAATTAATTGAGAGGTGAGCATGTCCTGAACCTGTTTCTCTATTTCATTTTTTTAACGTGGTTGTATTTTTAGGGTCTGATGTTAATAGGGGTGGCGTGGGGTAGGAGAGGTATAGAATGGTCATGGGATCTAGGAGGAGGGAGGGAGGTGGGTTCTTGAAAAACATCCTCAAAAGAATCTAAAAGTTTTTGAAATTCCAATGGGAGGGAAATTTCAGTTGTAGGAGCAGTGGTGGCAATAGGAACAGCAGAAAGTGAAAACAATTGGGTTATCATACCACAACCTTCCAAAGTAATTTCTTGAGGGACTTAGGTGAAATAAGGTTCAAGGAACCAGATTCAGTCATACCTTTCAATTCTAAAGACACATTATCCTTTTGTATGATAAGAGCTGGGGTAATGAAGTCAAATAAAACTGTGTGATATGATATTCTACTAGCTCCAATATCCCAGGACTATATATGAATTTGTGCCCTTGCATCTCCCATTCTAGGTCAGGACATTGAAGTTTACTAACCAGGACTTGACCATTGGCTAACTTGACAGATAGGGGGAAAAGTCTTGACAAACTTCAAGTTGAGGGTTTTAACCAATTTAGCATCAATAAAACTGTGAGTACTCTCACTATCCACCAAAATGACAATGGACTGACTATGTAATGTGCCCTTAATCCTAATTGTATTAGGAGATAGATGACCCTCAATTGCACTAAGTGAAGTGACTTCCTGACCCAATTCTTCTACCCCTTCCTCATACTCAAGCAATTGGTCCTCTATTTCCTCCTCTAATGCATTCATAGAAAGTAGATGTTTGTTTTTACAAATGTGTCCAGGAAAGTACTTATCCCCACATTTGTAATAGGGTCTAGGGACTCAGCAGGTGGTGAAGGTAACACAGCTGGCTTAGGTACTTGGGTATTTGAGGCTTGGTCAGGTGGTTTAGTAGGTAAGTTTTAGACAGGGAGTTTTGGTAAAATGGTTTAGGTGGGATGAGGCGAAAGGATTGTTTCTGGTGTTTCATAAGGGCCTCAATAGACTGCTCTTGCAATTTGGCTTGTTCAAAAGCCTGAACCAACGTAATTGGGTGGAGGAGTTTGATTAAAGGTCTAAGATGGTCATTTAGTCCACTGATAAAACATGAGATAAAATACTCCTCTGGCAAGCCATCGTTATGCTTTTGCACGAGAGATTTGACGTATTCAAATCTCTATTGATAAGCCAGGACTGTAGGGGTAAGTTCCCCAAATCTAGCACACAATGCCTCCGAGAATTGAGTCCAATTAGCTACATGGTTACGTAGAGTCCAGCCTTGGAACCAGGCATCAGGGACATTAGAAAAAAATAATGAGGCCAGTTCAATCATGTTGGGTTCTTTTATGCCATAAATAAGAAAATATTTACGACATTTACGAAGCTAATGCTTAGGATTAGTACCATCAAATTGGGGCAAGTCCATTTTCAAGTTTAATGAACTGTTCCAAGGATTCCTTTGAAAATGGTTGGGTGAGGTAGTAAATAAAGCGTTGGTATGATCCCTAGGTGTTACAGGAGGAGGGGTTGTTTGGTTTGGATAAGTGCCAGTTAAATCCCCATTGTTCATAGGAGGAAGATTTCTATTAGGTATCTGAATTGGGGGTGCCAGTTAAATAAAGCGTTGGTCGTCCATCTTTTGATTCTGTGTTGATTGGGCCACGTCAATCTCAGATCGAGACTCAATCACCGCCGTAGATAGCCTTTCTTCCAGAGTTTCAAATTTTCCTTGCATTTCAGCCTGAATCGCCTCCAAGGAATGCTCAAGGGAGACAGCTCGCTCCTCAAGAGCCTGGAAACGAGATGTATTGGTCATCGTGGTTTTTTTGTCTAAGGAAATAATGGGTTCATCTAAATCACAAGTCTCTGATACCAGATTGTTAACGGACTGCAATATGCAGTGCTTAACAAGGGTGTTCAGTAACCCAGAAATTAGATGAGCACTGAGAAAAGTAAGGGAGAAGAAGAAGGAAAGGAAAGAGAGGAGAAGAATCGAGACAAAAGGGTATTTAGGAAAAAGAGTATATTTTCTCATTACTTGTCCTTTTCCATAAATGCCAACTCAGCTACTTACACATCAGCAGCAATATAAACATTTAGCCACAAGTTTTAAGTAATTGAAATACTATGCAGGCTATTAATTCCTATAACAGCACTGTTTATTACAATGTAGTCCTTAATTGCTAACACAAATCAATTCCATTAATTTTACCAAATTTTGCCTAACCCTAATGGAGATGGATTGAATAAAAGCCCACCAGAATGGGATTTTCGGAACAAACAATAATAATGGTGGATAGTATACAAAATAACAGAAATGTTTTGGTGCATTGGGACAACAGTTTTGGACCTTCTCCTCGTCAGACATGGTTAATTACAAACATTTCTTTGATTATCTTAATTTCAACTTCTAATAAACAGGGGGTGATATTGACCTCTATTTGCCTGATTGTTTGAATGCATTGTCATCTAAGGATGAGCACAAAACAGTTCTCATAAAAAAATCAAATTGATTTAGTTTGGTTTTTCTAATTTATTAGTTCCATGAAATTAAATTTAGAATTTTTGATTATTTTAATTCGGTTCAATTTTATTCTAAAAAAATTAATTTAATCAAACTGAATCAAAATCTAAGAACTTTCATTTTGAAGTTTTTACCTTTGATTATATGAGATTTCCCTTTCGTTTTATACTGATTGTAATAGTTGATACTTTTCAATTAATTAATTAACCGAACCGAATTAAAATAAAAATTTTTAATTTTATTCGGTTCGTTTTGTGTGTGCGCGTAGATATATATGTATATATGGCACAAGTGGGTAAATCATACAATATATTCCCATGTGTACCCATGGAATATGTTGTATTATTTGATGCAAAATGTACTTGACTTAATCTGGCTAGCTTTATATATATGTAAGTTTATAATAAACAAGCAACAAAACTGAAACAAAGCAATAGTCTTAAGAGTACAAAAATGGATTCCAATTCCATTAATGAAATCAATGAAGAAGATGAAGCACACCTTAATGCGATGCTATTCTCTGCCTCTCACATCTTTCCTATGGTGTTTAGGGCAGCTATCCAACTTAACATCTTCGGTATTATAGCCAAAGCAGGACCAAATGCTTATCTTTCTGCAACTGATATTGCTTTTCACCTTCCAACACAGAACCCTGAAGCTCCTTCTATGCTTGACCGGATGCTTCTTCTCTTTGCCAGCCACTCTCTTCTTTCTCAATCTAAGCGAACCCTAGAAGATGGTCAAGTTGAAACACTTTATGGGTTAACACCAACTTCCAAATTCTTTGTTCCTTGTAGTGAAGAAGAAGGAGGTTCTCTTGCTCCCTTATCTGCACTTTCTACTCACAAAGTCGCCATGGAGGTCTGGTATGGCTAAAAAAAAAAGTGAAAACACCTTTTTTCTTTTTATTATTTGTAGTCTATCATTAGTCTCTAAATATAAAACATTTACTCTTGTGTGTTGTGTAATTTTACTAAAATAGGTTAAATTTGAAGGATGCAATTCTTGAAGGTGGAAGTATGTTCAAAAGAGTTCATGGGATGTCTTTATTTGAGTACATGAATGAAGACCAAGCATTTAACAAGATTTTCAATGATGCAATGGCTGGTCTTTCTCCTCTCATTATGAATGCAATTTTTCAGAGATACAAAGGATTTGAAGGGCTCAATTCATTGGTTGATGTTGGTGGTGGTACTGGAAAGGTTCTCAATATGATTATCTCTAAGTATCCTTCCATCAAAGGCATTAACTATGATCTGCCTCATGTTACCCTAACTGCACCACCTTACCCTGGTATAGTACTCTCTCTCTTTCTCTCTAATTCTACTAATTAATTCAATTAAATTCTACTAATTAATTAATTCTATCAATTGAATTAATTTTTTCAAAAAAAAAAGAATTAATTTAAGATCACTTATAATTTTGATAACTTGATGCTAAAGAGGCATAAATATGCATTTCGGCCCTTTAAATTTTAAAAATTTGTATTTTGTAATCCAAAATAAATTTCTAATTTTACCATTGGCCTTAATTACGCTTAGGTATGACAAGTTTTGTAAGTGCGGATTTCGATTTCATCTTAATTTAAAATTGAAACTAAACAATTTTTTCAGAATCTCTTTTATTTTATATTATTTTTTAAAAAAATTTTGCCGCATCAATGAATAAAAATGATAAAATGGTAACTAATGGATAGTATTGAAAAGGAATTTAAAAGTTTAATAAAAAAATTTAAGATTTATAATAAAAATTTTAACAAAACAAAAAATTAGAATTTCTTTATTTTTTTATTATTTCATAATTTCTTTTTTTTTTTTAAGAAAAAAATGATTTAAAGCCGAAACCACGGGTTAGTGGATGATTAGTCTCCCTTCTGCAAGCCTTTCTATTGCTGAAGGCACCGCACATACTCATTAAAGAACTCTCTCTCTGCATTTAATCACATAACTTCGAGTACAATTTAAAAGTAGAAACTGTTGACCAGATTCCAATTTAAAACCAAACTCTGATTATGCCTAATCATGCTTAAAAAGAAAAAGAATTCCTAGCAATTTCAAAAATCAAAGGAGTACTTGTATTTTCTTTTCTCCCTATTAGGTTTATATTTCGGATTAGAATATTAATTATAAGTTTTGAAAATTACATCCAATACTTTATAATAACTTTTTTTTTTTTACCTTAAAAAAGTAATTTAAAACATATTATAAAATCTTTCATATGAAGGCTAGATTTGAATTATGAGATTCCTCTATCACTATATGAGTCCAACATAGGCATAATCATCGATCCAATTCGAATTGATATTAAATAAAAAAAAACCAGTTTTAAAAATTAGATTCAAATCGAAAATAATTCAAATTTTGGTTACCAAATGAAATTAATTTGTTTTTAATACAATGCCACCTAATAAACTTTAAATACAAAAAATAAAAAAGTCTTTGGATTTTTTGGATTGTAATGAATTTCTAATTGCATAAATATAGAATAACTTACACGGCGTTTACAATTAAATTACCAATAATTAATTGCTGACGCTAATTTTATAATTTTTCCTTTGATTTTTTGTGTAAAGATAACTTTATTTGCTTATTTTAAACTCAGGCATTCAACATATTGGAGGTAATATGCTAACGAGTGTTCCGCAAGGAGATGCAGTTATGATAAAGGTGACTCTTATTTTGTCTCTATACCTTGAGTATTATATACTATAAATAAATAACAATTTTTTTAATAATAATTTTATAAATTAATTATGATAAATATGACCCTTATTTTGTCTTTATATCTTGATATTATGTATCATAAAAAAATAACAGTTTTTTGGAACATTTCATTAAATTTAACAATTTTTGATTTTTTTTTCTTCTTAATTTAGATGACACTTTTAAAAAGTCAAAACATTATTAATTATTTTATTTCAGTTTTTTTCTTGTCTAGATATTTATATTAAATTTTATTTCAATTAAATTAATATTAAGAGTAATTAAATTTTTTTTTTTCTAAAATTTAGGTGATTCAATAATTTTCTCAATTCCTGTGAAAGATAAAGAAATGTCAAATTTAATAGAATGGAATAAGTAATTTAATACTTAAGTTGTAATATTAAACTTACTCTAAAGCCTTATTTTGTAATACTCTCTTCGTCCTAAAAAGGTAATCCATCTTTCCTTTTTAATTTTGATTTGTCCTAAATATAGTCCACTTTTCTTTTTTGCATTATAGTTAATTCTTAAATTGTCTCTTCTACCCTTATTAAAATTTTATCTTATTTTCAATAACGCCCATTAATTCTTATTTATTATTTTAATATAATAATTGCTCATATGTTATTTAAGATGACATAATAGGAAAGTTATATGAATAAAATTATACTTTAGCCATAATAATTGCTATTTTTTTATTATGTGTATAAATAGAAAGTGGACTATCGATCTCTTTGAAATGAAGGGAGTAACTTTTAAGATAACTTGTGTTTTTACATTTTGTAATGTTCCATAAAAAAAAAAAATATCGCTTAACAAATAGAATTTAATAAAGACATAACATATAATATTTTCATTACTATGATTGTAGCTATCGTGGTTGACCCCTTTTTTTTTTTTTTTTTAAAGGGATTATTGTATACTACATAAATATTAATTATTGACATATTAGATAATATTCATACATATACTCTGCAGGATACATGTCACAATTGGAGTGATGAAAATGTGATAAAAGTGTTGAAGAATGTATATGAAGTGCTGCCCAAAAATGGGAAACTTATAATTATAAATGCAATATTGCCAGAAGAACCAGACACAACGAAAGCCTCTCAGTATGTTTTAAGCCTTAACAACACAATGTTAATGCAGCCTGGAGGCAAAGAAAGAACTGCAAAACAATTTGAGAGCTTCACCAAGGCTGCTGGTTTCTCCAATTTTAATGTTGCTTGTGTTGCTCGAGGTATATGGGCTGTCATGGAATCCTGTAAGTAATTAATTATTTAATTATATCATCATTAAGCCTTCAACCATAATTATATATGTTTTAAGGTTGATTTATGATTTTTTCTTGTGGGTTTGTTGTGATGTTTCAAGTATAAATTTCAATTATGTTTGGAAGGAATAATTGTACACTTAAATTTATTTATAAATAAATTTTATTATATGAATTTTTATATTTGGTATTTAGACTTTGTTCGGTAAAGACTTTTTAAGTAGTTGATCAAAACGCTACACGCTATTGTTTATAGTGTTTGGCAACATAGCGTTTGGACTAGATTTTAGAGGTTAAGATAATGTTTTATCAAAAGTTAAATCATGTAACGCTTAGTTGGCTTTTAGCATTTTATGAAAAGTTACTCAAACAGCTAAACGCTACTTAAACAGTCAATAGCTATCAAAAACAATTAATATTGCCTTTAGGCTATATTCAATAATAGTTTTTTAAATATCTTTTAGCGTGTTGATTGGCAAAAATGCTACAAGCTATTTTTTGTACTATTCGGTAACATAGTATTTGAACTAGCTTTTATAGGTTAAGGTAGCGTTTTATAAAAAATTAACCCACATAACATGTAACTTTTAGCATTTCATGAAAAGCTACTCAAATAGCTAACAACTAAGAACATCCCCAATGCAACCATGGATTGTGGCTGATGTGCCTTAATAAATAGAAGTTGTGAACGATAATGTGACTGAATGTGTATTTATAGACGTTAGATTTTAAAAATAGTTCTTCAATGCTTTTTGATTATATTAGAATTTCCTGATGATGAGTATTTAATGTTTTAAAATTATATGTAATTAAAATTAAACCTATAACTAAATACAGTGACCTAAAAACAAACCGCTGGAGAGAAGATGTAGAAGAGAAATAAAAAATTAAGAAAAAATGAATGAATAGGAAAAAAAGAATAAATAGTTAAGTCATATTGTCTAACAGACCTTTTGAAAATAGAGAACATGATGGACAATGTATTTTTTTCTTGATACATCAAACTCACAGACTAAATAGACAATAACATTAGGTAAGATTTTTGTTTTTAACTTTCAATTTTTTCAGATGTGGCAAATAAATAAGAACAATCCATAGTTGTATTGAAAATGCTCTAAAGGCTACTAAAATAAATAACAACTACCAAACCAGTTAATTTTGCTATAGTCTCCCAATTATACTCAAATACACTAATCAGAAATTTTATTTTCAGAATTTAATTATATAGTTCCATTATTTTATTTCCTTTAGACTACTTAAGTCTTCTATTGAATTCAGCATAAGTTAAACAGATTAAATAGTATAACAAGAACAAAATCGAGAAACTACATAATTAATTTAAAAAATAAGGAGCCCTAATTATTCAACTTTTTAGAAGCTTTAACGCCACACATGTATCTTTTAGGAAGAATAATAATGTCTTTATATTTAAATAGCAGTTAACCGATAATTACATATTCCAAATGTAGGTAAGTATTTCACACAAATATAAATATTAAGTAGTGTAACTAAGATAAAATTGAAGAATATAAGATTAAATTCTAAAAATAAAAGTCTTAAGTTCTGACTAGTATATTTAAATATAATGAAACAACTAGATAATAATATTACTATTACATATATTTTAAAGAGGCCCGCAATCATATTGAGTATGTCCAACTTCATCCCGAAGAAGAACCATAAGAAACATTTTTATGATTAACTTTTTAATCAATGATGGAGTTTCTAGTAAATTACCAATTAGATAAGATTGCAATGATAGTTTGAGCAGCCTCGGTTTTCTTTCCTCCAAATATTTATCAATAGCTACTACAGCTTCACTTTGCAGCCTATTATTTTTTACATCAAAAGATTTTGTTGACACATTTTGTGCTAAACTTCTAGCAAGAACAACCGCATCTTCAAACTGGCTGCCTCACCTTGGCCGAGGAATGGACCCATGGCGTGCAACGCGTCTTCGGCTACTATCTCGATTCCTTTTCAAAAATCTTTGAATAATATATCCCATGATGCTCGATAATTAAAATGTGTAAAAATTAACGAGTTTTCCTTGGTATGCTTTATCATTTCTACAAGTTATGATGGGAAGTGTAACTCACCGTAAGTTGGTGATTCATGCCTGAGTCTTCATAAAATTTATCAAATTCTTGTAAAGTATACTCGCTCTCGTTGTCAGATCTCAAAGTTTTGATTTTACAGCCACTTTGAGTTCCTACGAGAGCTTTAAACTTCTTGAAAGTAGAAACAACTTGTGATTTGCTGTTGAGAAAATTGTTAAGAAGTTGACTTAGCTGCTGCACTTCCAATTTAGTTGCTGCATTTTTTCTTTTTCTGTTATGTTTTGACTTGTTCTACTGCATTTCAGTCATTTTTTCTGTTAATGTTTTTGACTTGTTTCTACTGTTCATTTCAGTCATTATTTCCATTTTTTCTAGCTAGTTGTTAAAACATGGAGGCACATGTTCCATGGTTGAGCTTGAAATATAGGAAATTTCTTTTTTTTTTTTTTTTTTTTTTTTTTTTTTGTATTTAAGGCACATTCTGCAGTTAATAAAAAATGTTGTACACTGCAATTATTCTTTTTTTTTTCCTCTGTTATTTTCTTAGTTTGCTCCAACACAACTGGTATCAGAGCCCTCTTTCTTAAGGGACTTGTGAGGAATTTGAGTGCTATATTCACCAATGAGGCTTCGAGTGCAAGAAACTTCTTTCATGCCATTGCGCCTCCCCTGTGTTAATGGAGAAACTTATCAAGTTTGGGGCAATCAAATGGAGGCCTTCCTGGATGCCAAATGCATCTTTGGGAGGCTGTTTGAGGAAAGACTAACAAAGTTTGCTTCCACTTACCTGCAAATCTAAGTGGCTCAAATGAAGAATTTTCAAAGAAAGGAAAGGCAATGGAAGTCCGACGGCCAAAAGCTGTTTGTTTTGCTGCAGTTTTCACTCTTCAATTTTTTCACTGAATATGACCTTGAAAATAGCCTTTGAATATGGACTATCTCAAGAAGAAGGAGTACGAGGGAAATGAGAAGATCAAAGGAATGCAAGTGCTGAATCTGGTTAGAGAATTTGAGATGCAGAAAATGAAGGAATCTGAAACTATTAAAGAGTATTCAGATAGACTTCTCAATTTCGTAAACAAGGTACGATTATTTGGTTTTGAATTTGCTGATACAAGAATAGTTCAAAAAATTCTAGTTACTGTCCCGGAAAGATTTGAAGCTACCATCTCTTCTTTGGAAAATACTAAGGATCTGTCAAAGATTGGCTTGGCAGAATTGATACATGCTTTGCAGGCTCAAGAACAGAGAAGGCTTATGAGAAGTGAAGGTTCTGTTTTATGAGAAGTGAAGGTTCTGTTGAAGGAGCATTGGCTGCAAAGGTGCAAAAAAATCAAGGAGGGAAAGGGAAGTACAAAGAAAACAAGAAGGAAGGTTCAGATTCATCAAAGTCTGACTTTCCTCCTTGTAAGCACTGTAACAAAAAGGGTCATCCACCATCGAAATGTTGGAGGAGACCTGATGTGAAATGTGAGCAGTGCCAGAAAATGGGACATCATCAGAAAATATGCAAGAGCAAGGTTGTAGCTCAAGATGATCTACAGCAGAAAAATATTGCTCAAGTAGCTAATTATGAAGAGGAGCAGCTATTTGTAGCTACTTGTCTTGCAGCAAGTCATTCAAGTGACAAATGGCTCATTGACGTGCTTGCACCAACCACATGACCTTTGACAGGGATCTATTCAAGGAGCTAGATTCATCATTCATTTCCAAAGTAAAGATTGGTAATGGAGAATATATCGCAGCGAAAGGGATAGGCACAGTTGCAGTAGATACTTCAACATGTACAAAGTTTATTCAAGAAGTGTTATTTGTACCTAACATTAATCAAAATTTGCTGAGTGTTGGTCAGCTTCTTGAAAATGGTTTTAAAGTGTTTTTTTGGTTTTAAGTGTTTTTTTGAGAGCAAAATCATTGCTTTAATCAAAAAATCACCAAGATGAAGATATGTTCAAAGTGAGCATGAAGGGAAGAGTTTTTGCAGCTAGATTTTCTACAGGCGCAAAGCAATCAGTCTCTCAGGCAACAAAGTGAGCCAGAAGTGTGGCTATAAAAGGCTGGGTTTCATTTTCAAGTTCATAGGGAGTAGTTGGTGAATATGCAAACAGAATGAACTTTGTTCGAGGTTTGCCTAAATCTTGAAGTTGAACTGCCAAAATGCAAAGGCTTTGCCAATATGGAAAGCCAATCAGGTCTTCCTTTCCAAGAAAGGCCTACCTGGACGAAGCATAAAACAAGCTTCAATTGATACATATTGAATGTGGCTTAGTCCTCATAGAACTCCTTCACTTAATGGGAGTAAGTATTTTATCTGCTTTTCATTAAATGATTATAGTAGAATGTGCTGGATATAGAATGTGCTGGATATATTTTCTCAGATTCAAATCAGAAGTGGCTGGTGTGTTCTGGAAATTCAAGAACTGGATTGAAACACAAAGTGGCTACAAAATTCAGATGTTGAGGTCTGATAATGGGAAGGAGTACACGTCTACAACTTTCAGTGAGTTCTGTGAAGAGGCTGGAATTGAACATCAACTCACTGCTCCATATACTCCTCAGCAAAATGGACTCAGTGAACGTAAAAATCGTACAGTGATAGAGATGGTCAGGTGCTTGCTTCATGAAAAGGAGTTGCCAAAAGAATACTGGGTAGAGGCTGCTAACACTTCTGTGTTTCTGCTGAACCGACTTCCTACAAAGGCAGTTGATGGGAAGACACCTTTTGAGGCTTGGTATGGTTACAAACCCTTTTTAAAAAATTTAAGAGTGTTTGGCTGCTTGTGTTTCACTTATGTGCCTCAGATTAAAAGAGACAAGCTCAACAGAAAAGCTGAAGCTGGAATCTTTGTAGGATATAGTTCAGTTTCAAAGGCTTATAGAGTTTTTCAACCTGATACAAGAAAAATTCTAATAAGCAGAGATGTTCATTTTATGGAAGATGCTAAATGGAATTGGAAAGGAGATCAGGCTGGTACAATTCCAAGTCAAGATTTAAAGTTGCTAGAGCTGTCCGAAACTGATTTGATTGATGATGCACCTATCAGAAGCACAAGATCACTTTCTAAAATCTATCAGAAGTGCAATATTGCAGTCCTGGACCTAGAAAATTTTCAGGAGGCAAAAAGAGATAAAAAAAATGGGTAGCTGCAATGGAGGAGGAGTTGAGTATGATTGAAAAAAATAAAACGTGGCAACTGGTAAAAAGACCTGATGACAGAAAGTTGATTGGAGTAAAGTGGGTATTCATAACAAAGCTGAATGGAGATGGCTTTATAAACAAGCATAAAGCAAGGCTTGTTGTGAAAGGTTATGCTCAAATCCCTGGTGTTGATTTTTCTGACACATTTGCTCCTGTTGCCAGAATTGAAACAATCAGGTTGCTGTTGGCTATTGCTGCTCAAAAGGGTTGGAAAGTGTACCAGTTAGGTTGCTGTTGGCCTATTTGCTGCTCAAAGGGTTGGAAAGTGTAGGAAAGTGTACCAGTTAGATGTCAAGTCAACATTTCTAAATGGTCTTCTCGAGGAGGAGATCTATGTTGAACAACCTGAGGGGTTTGTTGTGAAAGAGCAAGAAGATGATGTGTATTTGCTCAAAAAAGCACTATACGGCCTGAAACAGGCACCAAGGGCCTGGTATAGCAGAATTAATGAGCATTTGATGCAGCTGGGATTCAAAAAAAGTCTAAATGAGGCTACCCTCTACATCAAAGGTGATGAGATCAATTTTGTTGTTGTTTCACTGTATGTGGATGACTTACTTGTTACAGAAAGCAATTTGGAACTTGTGAATAAATTCAAGAAAGATATGCAACAGACCTTTGAGATGACTGACTTGGGGGAAATGGCATATTTTCTTGGAATGGAGGTTCAACAAAAGGAGAAAGAGGTGTTCATTTGCCAAACCAAATATGCTAAAGAAATTAGAAATTCAGAATGGATGAGTGCAAGATTGCTACAACTCCTTTGGGGTAAAAATGTAAAGCTCGCAAGGAAGATGTAGCGGAAAAGGGTTGATGAACTCTTTACAGAAGTCTAGTGGGTTGGTTTGATGTATTTAACTGCGATGTATTTAACTGCCACAAGACCTGACATTTTACATTCTGTGAGTCTGCTATCTCGATTTACGAATTATGCTACTGAAACTCATTTTTCTGCTGCTAAAAGAGTTCTAAGATATGTGAAAGGAACATTGAAGCATGGAATCAAGTTCGGTGCTAGTCAGTTTCATGTTCTGCAGGGCTATTTTGATAGTGATCATGGTGGTTCTGATGATATGAAGAGTACTTTAGGTTATTGTTTTAATCTGGGGTTAGGAATGTTCTCTTGGTGCTGTAAAAAATAAGAAGTTGTTGCACAATCAACTGCGGAGGCAGAGTTTATTGCTGCTACACTACTGCAAATCAAGCTTTATGGCTTAGAAAGGTGTTATTTGATTTGAACCTGAAGCAAAATGAAGGCACAGATGTGTTTGTGGATAACCAAATAGTAATAACTATCTCAAACAATCCTGTTTTTCATGGAAAAACGACACACTTTAATATCAAATTGTTTTTCCTTAGAGACGTGCAGAAAGAAGGTTTTGTTGTTCTGAAATATTGCAAACCTGATGACAATGTTGCAAACATCTTTACCAAATCTTTGGAAAGAAGCAAATTTGAGTTTCTAAGGGAAAAACTTGGAGTTTGCAGCATCAAAGCCAAGGAGGAGTGTTAAGAAGTTGACAGGAGGAGTGTTAAGAAGTTGACTTAGCTGCTGTACTTCCAATTTAGTTGCTGCATTTTTTCTTTTTCTGTTATGTTTGACTTGTTCTACTGCATTTCAGTCATTATTTCCATTTTTCTAGTTGAATTGTTAAACATGAAGGCATGTTCCATGGTTGAGTTGAAATATAGGAATTTTTATTATCCTTTTTTTGTTGTATTTAAGCACATTTGCAGTTAATAAAAAATGTAGTACACTGCAATATTCTTTTTTTTCCTCTGTTATTTCTTAGTTTGCTCCAACACCTCTGTTATTTCTTAGTTTGCTCCAACAAAAATAAACCAAGCACATTCTTGTAAAATCATCAATGCACAAAATAAAATATTTGCATTGATTGAGGGACATTCATGGGCCTATAAACATCAGTATGAATCAGCTCTAATTTTTCAGTTGCTATATAAGACTAATTTTTAGGAAAAGAATCTCTATGCGTCTTTCCTAGTTGACAAGCATCACACACCTCACTTCTCAAGCTAACTTCATGAATCTCTCTAAATTTTGCATGCTGGTTCCGTTGTTGATGTTGTTTTTGTCTACAATATTTATCAATATGCCCAATTTTGCCACAATTACTGCATTTGGCCTTCTTCCAACAATTTTTCTCTAAGTGAGATGTTTTTTGGCAAGTTGAACAATTTTGCCTCTTTTTTTCACTTTCTTTGTTGTCACCTTCTCTTCTTTTTTATCCCTTTTATCATGAAAAATTTTGTCCTCTACTACTTTTAGAAGCTTTCTTTCCTTTATTTTTATATTTGGCATAAAAATCACCTTCAATGACATCTTCTTGTCTAATAGCTCTTCTTTGCTCCAAAGCTTGAAAAGCATTAACAAGTTCTAAAATAGTGAGTTGAGTGTGGTCCTTGGAGTCTTCAAGAGAGGAGATTTTGGCTTCAAACCTCTCGGGTAGACTCACAAGAACTTTCTCAATAATTCTGCTGTTGATGAGGTCTACTCCAACCAATCGAATCTAATTTACAACCTCCATAAGTCTGTCAGTATACTCTTTCACAGTTTCAGATTCTTTCATTCTTAAAATCTCAAACTCTCTTCTCAAGTTTAGGACTTGCATTTGCCTAGTTCTATTACTTCCTTGAAACTCTTCTTTGATCTTATCCCATGCTTCCTTTGCTATATCACAAGCCATGATTCTTGCAAAGATGGTTTCTGAAACACTCGAATGAATACAAGAGAGAGCCTTGTATTTTTTTGCAAGTTCTTCACTATGATTTTGCATTTAAGCAAGTATTGGATTGTTGGGTAAAGGAGGAGGATCTACCTGTCTCAACAACTTTCCAAAGATCATATGCCCTTAAGATGAGCCTTCATTTTTACAGGCCAAATTGGATAATTCTCACCTGAAAATACAGGTGGTAATTGAGCTGAAAAATTGCTAGAAGCCATTAAGAAAATATGAGGTGTTTAAGGGGTGATGTTTTCTTACTTGTTTGGTCTCACTTTATCAGACTCTCATAGCCCCTCAGAGGATTGAATGCTTTAATATCAATTGTAGAAGGCAATGGCAGA